CAGCTTTTCAAAATGGTTTCTCTGTGTAGCTTTGCGCCTTTCCTGGATCTCTGTAGACCAGGCTGGCCTCGAACTCACAGAGATCCGCCTGCTTCTGCCTCCCGAGTGCTGGGATTAAAGGAGTGCACCACCACCACCACCACCGCCCGGCCCTTAGGCTCTCTTAAAGCATCCTCTGCTGTGGTAATGCTTGTTTTTTACCACCATTATTTCTGATGCTTCCCTAAGTTCTGCCTCCTCACCTTTCAATGTCTGATTGTCGTGTTCTTTCTTGTTGGAGACCATTTTTGTGCTGCTGCGTCTCAGTTGGAAGTAGAGGGTTACAGTTGTCACCTAGTTTGTGGGTGTTTCTGGCGCTTTTGTCAGTTTGGGCTCTTATTACACCTTTGTTTTTCTGGTAATAACTTGGTAAGATTGGCCCGTTTTGTTTGCTTTTTGAGAAATCAGATGGCCTGAACACTAAGGTGGTTCAGCATGGCTTTCCCACAGAGTTCCCTCTGCTGTTGGTTTTGGGTTCACTTCAAAACCGAGGCGTTTTCCTTTCTTTCTGTGATTTCTAGGCTGTGTATTTACGCCCCTGTGCTGAAGTGTGTATGTTTTTGGAGTCCCGAGATCACTGCTGGTGCCTTCTTCCATCGCCACACACTTTACACAATTCTCACTTTTAATATGATGTGTTTGGGTGTTTTGCCTGCCTCTATGCTCGTTACTTGCATGCCCAGAAGAATGAGTCTCCCCAGAATTGGAGTTACAGCTGGTTGTGAGTACTTACTGTGTGGGTGCTGGGAATTCAACCTGGTCTTCTGGATGAGCACCCAGTGCTCTTAACAGCTGAGTTGTCTCATTGAATCTGGGGCTCCTCCATTTGGTTCGACTGCTGGCCAGCAAGCCCAGGGCCGCTCCTGCCTCTGCCTCTGCCGTGTTGAGATGACAGGTGCCTGCTGCCACTGCTTCAGCGTTGACCTCAGGCCTCCTGCTTGCACAGCACACATCCTTACCCCTGAGCCATCTCTCCCCAGCCTTGCTGCTCTTTTATCTTGGTATTTCTTTCCCTTTATTGCTCCGTCCACACCCAATACCGTGCACTCCCTGTGCTTCCTTCCCTTTTACGGACAGGTCTGTCCAGGATTCATTGAAGATGACTGTCTTAACCTTTTTAGTTGTGGATGGACTCCTTGTACTTAATAACTATTTCAAAGGGCAGGAGCCTCCCGACTGCAGCTTCTGTCCGTATATTGTCTGCTGACTTACGGAATGGGGTTTTGTTGTTTGGTGACAGCCTGTTGTCACTCTGCAGACAGCCTTTCTCTTCTTGCTATTTTCCATACAGGTCTTGTGGTGGTTTGTGCATCGTCCCCACCGGCTGTTTGGGGAGAACTTGTGGAAATTGCTGTCACTTGGCTTTATTGTTTGTGTCTGTAGATTTTTGATAACCGTTTTTTGTGTATGTCTTCATGGGGTTTTACAGATGGTCAGAACTTTGCCACTACCTGCATTACTCCAGAATCAGAATTTCTAAAGACATATTTGCTCAATTTTAACTTTGTCCCGATACTCCTTGAATCTTAAACATTTCAGCTCCATTCTGTGTTGATAGCCTTACAGGGTTCATAATAAGAAGTGGTTCACAGTTGTCACCAGAAATTTATTTACAGATAATTAGACCAGTTTGTAACTGAACAGTAAGATTTGTAACTACTCTTTCTTTTCTTTTTTTTTGGGAGGGGGGGGTTTCGAGACAGGGTTTCTCTGTGTAGTTTTGGTGCCTGTCCTGGATCTCGCTTTGTAGACCAGGCTGGCCTCGAACTCACAGAGATCTGCCTGCCTCTGCCTCCCTGGTGCTGGGATTAAAGGCGTGTGCCACCACCGCCCAGCTTGTAACTACTCGTACAAAGGAGAGGGACATCTGAGGATATCAGTTGGTTTGCATTTGTGTAGTAACCTGTCATCATCATCTGGCCAAAATATTCATGTAAGGATAGATCCAGGACACTGATGAGTCCACAAAATGCTAAGCATTGCAGAAGCAAAGCAGATACCGCCTACTGACAGAAAGCTTGTGTCTGATCATCACTGCTCAAAAATACATTGTCCAGAAAATGTGGAAACTTGAGTAAAGCAGTTAAGAGTTTCTTAAGTCAAAATAGAACAAAAAAGGTGGTCTGTTTCTATGAAGAAAGAAAGTATAAGACATGGAATGTGATCATTTTGACTGAGGCACATGGATGACGCTTCCTTGCATTGGCTGGTAACTTAATGATCTTGTATCCCAGGCATGGCCCAATTCCTTTGCTTTCGAATTGATGTAAAAAAAAAAAAAATCACCAATACAAGTAAGATCCTTGAACAGCAGAATTTTGATGGCTTGACAAGTCATTCCAAACGTTTGTGGCATTGAGAACATGGTATTTGTTGTATTTACCTTGCTTGGTTTCCTTGTTTGAAGACATAATACTTGATTTTCATATATATAAAGATTGACTTTATACCTTGTAATATGTTTCTTTAACATGACTCCTAATTTTCCCCTTTAAAATTCTTTCACAGGCCTCAACAAATAATGAAAGTTCTAATCACAGTTTTGGAAGCTTAGGATCTTTAAGTGACAAAGAATCAGAGGTAAGTCATTTTATTTGAAATGTGGTGCTGGGAAAGTCAAAAAGTTGTCTTAAATGAGTATCCCTCCTTTCCCCTTAACAGCTCTGGTACTGAAGGTTAATGTAAAGTTTTCTTCTAGAATTTTCCATGTAGTTCCCCACCCCTCGGGGTGGTGATGGTAGGGAATGGGGGTGGCCTCAGTGAGGCACAACAATTTAGATTGAAGATTGTATTTGACATTAGAAAGAATATAGTTTTTTGATTCTGTAGCTTAATTTGCACATGAATAATACAAAGATGTTACCAATAGAAGACCAGCCATTCATGGTTTTATAAGATGAAGGTGGGTTTTGAAAAACGCTTCAGTTCAGTTTTTAAATTTTTAGTATTTCTCATCTTAGTTTGATCTTTGTAAGGGTTTGTGTACTTATCTAGTTATAAAAATACATCTTCTTTATAGAATTTCTTGTGGAATCAAGCTGATGGGTTTCATTTTGCATATTTTGAAAAATGTGATAAATCCTCTTTACTAGCACCCATTTACTGACCTCACCAAGAAAGAACATGGTATTTATAAGTGGACATTTAGGTCCACAGTATGGTCCATTCTGTGCATGATATACTTGATGGCGTCTTCTAAAAATGGTAGACACGAATGTGTTGGGGTTTAGTATTCATGTTTTGATACAATGACTTTTTGTGGGTCTAGCCTTTCAGGTTATACAATTCTGTCCATTTTAACCAATTTATGTGTGTATGTATTCGGCATGTATATGTTTGTGTTTTTCCTGTCAGTGTGACTCATTTGTACTTGATTCTTGTAGTCTGTTTCTGTCAGTAGGTCGTTAACACTCAGGAATTCTTACTGCGTTTGGCTTCTTGTTCAATGGAGAGAGAAACTCAGAGGTGGCATCTTTCTAGCTGTTTGTTATTGGCGTATCTAGGAACCTGTAGGTAGGCAGTTGTGTGCAGTTGTACAGGCACCCTACACTCCACAGGAGTGTGGCATAGGGTTCTCACTCATCAGGCTTTCCTTCCACAGAGACATCTGGCAGGCAGCTGAAAGGACTGTGCAAGTGACGGGACTTTATCCGCAGTAGGTTCCCTTGAGGTAAGCGTTAGTCGCCCTGTAGCCTCAGTTGAGTTTTTCAGATTAGCACGTGTGTACTAAGACCTCAAAGTAGGGTAGTTCTCATCCAAGTGGAGTTCAACAGCAAAACCAAACCAAAAAACAACTTATCAAGAATATTTCTACTTTTATTTCTTTTGGACTTTGGAATATTCTTGATATTTTTCATAGAAAAATTTCATATGTCCTTTCATAATTTTGTGTTATGAAGAGTAATAAAATAACTAGGTGTTTTTCTTTCTGTTAAATATATATATTTTAGTAGCAAAACATAGTAAAAGTTAGGTTCCCTATAGAAGATCTTCATAGGCGATAAAGTGTTTCATGTTTCCTTAGTTAACCAATATTCACAATGCAATTATAGATCAAATATTTGGATTATTTTAGAGAAATTAATCTATAATAAAATTTCCCTTGAAAGAATTCCATCGCTATATTTTTAGTTGCATTTTAAATAGCTGCATTACTTGTACATAGATTTATTTGTTTAGACATTTTGACATTTTAGGCAGCAATAGAAAATCTTGAAAAATCATTTGGCTTTTGCTGTCCTGTGCTCTGTATATGGGATTTTTACAAATTGATAGTTAAGCTTAGTGGCACAGTATTTTGACATTTTCTCAGATTGTACATGTTCCCTAATGTTCAAAGAAGTGACTTGTATTATTTGTTCTACATTTCCATATCAGAAGTTACTGATCTAAGGAAAATGAGTCTCAGGTTTTATCTCTGTAGCAGGAACCTTAATGAGTTTCCTTGAGATGAAATTTCATGCATACCAAATATGAATGTTCATAGGTCATGATTGGGAGTAAATGGTCGTGAGGTAAAAGTATTTTTTGTGCTAAATAGGCTGAGTAGTATAATTTAGGTAGTATCCCTTACCTCCTGACATCACTTTTCTCTTTTGGTAATCTGTTTCCTGATTGTTGTTTTTGAGATAGAACCAAGGCCTTGATACTCTACTATTGAGCTACAGTCCTAGCACCCTAATAGATTTTTAAAATAATAGTGTTTGTTTCTGTATGCAAGTTTATTTATGTTTTTAATTAGCTTTCCTCTCACCTAACCCTACCCAAAGCTCAGTTATTTTCACTTTTCCTCCTGACATTTACTACAGGTTGAATAGAAATGTGTGCACATCCTGTTTTGGTCATCAGTTGAGCATTATCTGTTTGCTCTTTTACTACTTAGGACTTAACTCACTCTTGCCTCAGCTGTCTCCTGTCCACACACACAGAATCATAGTTTCTTCTGTCTTCTTACTATTAAAACTGAAAAATACCTTATAGTCAGTTCAAGTTAATTGAAGCTACTTTAATTTACACTTTTAGTTCATCTATGTATTATTTAATATGTACCTATGACTTATTTTTATCTGTAGGATTACAGAATAAAAACATTTTTGTGGGGGTTGGAAAGTTGTCTCAATCACTAAAGTGCACTGTGCGAAAACAGGGACCCGAGTGTGAATTCTTAGCACCCCCACACAAAACTGGGCGTGGTGGCATGCCTTTGACCTTGTGTTCAGGGAGACAGATCACTGGGGTTTGTTGAGCCAGTCTAGCCCATCAGTGAGCTCCAGGTTCAGTTAGAGACCCCGGCCCAGAAAATAAGGCAGAGAATGAGGGAGACAACTGACATGGACTTCTGGCCCTCTGCATACTTGAACATTCATTCACATGGACCCCGACACACATCACACACGATTTCTTTCCTCTTGATAGTGCAGGTACTTGGTAGATAGAGAGGTTCTTGTTTGTTTTCTTTTACATCATTCTAAGTCTATTACACAGACTTAACAAGCTAACGTGAGCAGTTGTCTGCTCACCTAGCCCAAGCACGGAATAGGAAAATAAATGTGATATCATCTCTGCCTTCCAGTGAAATCAGCATCTGGGAGGGGCATACAGACATTTAAACAGTGTTTTCTGAACAGTGTGAGTGCAAGGTACAGTGAGAGCCAAGAGGAGGAAACCTTCAGTTCCATGGGCCTGTAAGGGAAGGTGGACAGAAAGGGATGAGGGGTGCCTTAGCATCCCAGAGGATAAGGCAGAATGTGAGCAGGTGGCAGGCTAAGGGATTGTGGTGTCTTTGCTTCTGTGTGGAAGCGTGACCAGTTTAGTTATGGAGATATGGCAGTGGTTCTCGGGCCTAGGGCAGTTAAGACCACCAAAGACATTTTACCAAGCAGCTTAGCAGATTTCAGTGACTTAAAAACTTCTGGTATGAAATGATGTGAGAGGGGAACCCCTTTTAAAGGCCCTTGAATTTCATGGTGAGGAATTTGGTGATGGGAAAACCTTGAAGTGGAAGAAACAAGCAAAAAGAGGTAAATACCTAAATAAATAATTAGACATATAGAAGGTTCCCCTGGTCTCAGGGTAGAGGATAGAATTTGAGGGAGATGAGACTTGAGTTGGGGGCGATGACTTTGTGAGGCAGTATGCATTCTTTATAAAATGCCAGTCCCTGAGAGAGGCTCTGATTACACTGTTCTCTGTGTTGACTGTTAGACTCTGCTCCCCACCCCACCCTTAGAGTTCACTGAGAAGTTACTGTGACTCCATAGGGCTTAGGTCAATAGTTCAGCGGCATTTTTTTTTTAAGCTCTTGCATCCCACTAGATTTAAAAAGAAGAATGAACAGAGTTTGATAATATTGAGAAAAAGAAGGAAAGGGAAGGAGCCTAGATGATTTAAAGTATTTTGCCTTTGAGATAGACGAGCAAGGAGAGTGAATAGATGATGGTCAGTTGAGTTCTTGATAACCTTGCGGTTGCCTTCCTGGGATGGACAACTGAGCTGGTACTGCAGGTAGCAGAGGACTAGAGGGAAAGACCTAGATGTCTCTGGCATGGGTAGTACTGGTGAAGGCCGAGGTACCGACAACCACATCTTAAAATGCAGTCTCAGGGCTCCTGCGGCTCCTGAAACTTGCTCCAGGGAGTTTTGGTAACTGCCCTATCACATCACTTTCTTTTTCTTTCATTTTCTTAGGGTTTGTAGAGAGTTTCCAGACTATATGACACATGATGACATCATACTGATGATCTCTGCATTATGCATTTGAATGTCTTAGTGTGACAAAATGTTGAAATTGTAACCTCCCAAATGCAAGCTGTTTGGGTTGTACTAGTTTTTCCCATTATTGTGGTAGACTACTGTCGAGAGCAGCTTAAGGGAAGAAGTTTGCCTTGACTGTCAGGGCTTGTGAGGAATGAAGAAGAAAATGGCAGACACACACAGAGTACAGGTGGGGTAAGGAGGACTGTGTGTTTTGATGAAGAGGTCCTACCCATCGGAATAGAAGAGGCAGGTTTCTTGTATATGGCTGAAGGAGGAGGTGGGGTGATTGTATACAGCTAAACAAAGAGACAAGTTGAGCTAATCTTGGTAGGGTCTCTTAGGGGACCAGTCTCAGGCTGTGTCACATCTAGTGCTCACAGTATCAGTGGACCAGCGGTATTGGGGTCCTTGGCATACCTAATCTCAGGTCAGCAACGCACAATCGCTGAGGGCTCCCTCCGCCCCCTTTGGGTTTGTTTGACCCATACTTGAGAAGCTTGGTTCATCATGGTAGGAAGGCATGGTAGTGATAGCAGCTTTAGTTGTGGTGGAAGGAGCACAGGGCAGCTGGTTACATGGTGTCCATGGTCAAGGAGCAGAGAGAGATGAGTGCTGGTGCTCCACTTGCTTCCGCCATTTTATTCAGTCAGAGACCATCTTCATTCACAAAGATTTATCTTCTAAGTGGTCCCAACTCGCAAGTTAACATTCAAAATTAACCACCACTGTGTCCTCAACAATATTAAAGAGTTATAGAGGGATCCTGACACCTAAAGGTTTGCAAGCTGTTTCTGTGAATGAGTTCACCTTAATAGTATGCCTAT